CCAGGAACCCACGAAAGTGGCGACATTTGCGCAGTTCGCAACCACCCAAGGAGCCGCGAGGACTCGTCTGGGTCCGCGTACACCTCCACTCCGCTGGACCTCCCAGGAGCCCGCGAAAGTCCCAGGGACCCGAAAAGTCTCGGCTGGGTCCGCGTACACCTCCACTCCGCTGGACCTCCCAGGAGCCCACGGAAGTTGCGACATTTGCGCAGATCGCAAACACCCAGGGAACCGCGAGGTCTCGGCTGGGCGCGTACACCTCCATTCCGCTGTAGCTCCCAGGAGCCCACGAGAGCGGCGAAATTTGCGCAGTTCGCAGTCCCCCAATAGGAAAAAGTCGAGCAAGGGAGGTAACGATGCATGAGGCAGGAGGCAGGAGGAGAGGGGAGGAGGAGGGTGGATGCATGAGGACAGGGGAGGGGGGGGAGAAGGAGGTGGAGGAGGAGGAAGAGGAGGAGGAGGACAAGAAGGAAGAGGAGGAGAAGGAGGAAGAAGAGGAGGAAGAGGAGGAGGAGAAGGGGGAGGGGGAGGAGGAGGACGGAGACCACAGTGCTCTTTTCAAAACGAGAACCCAACACAGGAGGGTTGGGCAAGAAAACGCTCTCAATGCTTGACCTGATCCCTAAAGGATTCCCACGCGAGAGCCCGACTTGAACAAGAGCTGCCCTCCACTTGCGCTGCTTATTTACCGTCTTGAGCGCGTCTCTTTGGTCTCCTCATCCTTCTCCTCCTCTTCCTCTTCCTCCTCCTCCATCCCTTTTCCTTACAAGTAACTTTTCCCTGTCGCATCCCGGAGCCAATCTTTTGGGCGGGCCGGGCGCTTCGCCTGAAAATTCCTCACCACTTACGACCCTGAGGCTGGAAAACTGGCAACAGTTTCACAATTGGAGGGCGGGTTGTTTTCATAATGTGGCTCTCGCTTTAGCGCCGCGGGCATTCGTTTTCAAATTTCGCAAGAGCTGCATGGATTGAGGGCGACGGGTTTTTTTATGTGGCGTTCGCCTCAGCGCGGTGCAGGGCTTTCAGGCTCATCAAGACGCAACGGTCAGGTTGATCCGTGGCGCTGGAATCCCGAAAACAATGTTCTGGCATGCTTCAGAATCTTGCAGCGGTTGTTTTCCGACGGGGCAGTGCCCACAGTGGAGATGAACCGCTGTAGGTACCTATGAAAATTAGCCTGGCGAAGGACCCAATCATATGCAGTTGTGAGTACCGTCTTAGTGAGCAACGCTTTCGGTGGAGCTCCAACGCTGTGCCGGGTGTGGCGGACGCATGCGCCCCCCCCCCGCTGGGGCCTTCGGTGGAGCTCCCTATGGGGCCACCACGAAACGCTGTGCTGGGTGTGGCGGACGCATGCGCCCCCCCCCACTGGGGTCTTCGGTGGAGCTCCCTATGGGGCCACGAAGCGCCGTGGTGGGTGTGGCGGACGCATGCGCCCCCCCCCCCCCAGTGGGACCTTCGGTGGAGTTCCCTATGGGGTCACGAAGCGCTGTGCTGGGTGTGGCGGACGCATGCCCCTCCCCACCACTGGGGCCTTCGGTGGAGCTCCCTATGGGGCCACGAAGCGCTGTGCTGGGTGTGGCGGACGCATGCGCCCCCCTCCACTGGGGCCTTCGGTGGAGCTCCCTATGGGGCCACGAAACGCCGTGCTTGGTGTGGCGGACGCATGCGCCCCCCCCCACTGGGGCCTCGGTGGAGCTCCCTATAGGGCCACGAAGCACTGTGATGGGTGTGGCGGGCGCAGGCGCTCCCCCCACGGGGCCTTCGGTGGAGCTCCGTATGGGGCCACGAAGCGCTGTGCTGGGTGTGGCGGACGCATGCGCACCCCCCACCACACACACTGGGGCCTTCGGTGGAGTTCCCTATGGGGCCACGAAACGCCGTGCTTGGTGTGGCGGACGCATGCGCCCCCTCCCACTGGGGCCTCGGTGGAGCTCCCTATGGGGCCAAGAAGCACTGTGATGGGTGTGGCGGGCGCAGGCGCTCCCCCCACGGGGCCTTCGGTGGAGTTCCGTATGGGGCCACGAAGCGCTGTGCTGGGTGTGGCGGACGCATGCGCCCCCCCCCCCCCCCCCCACACTGGGGCCTTCGGTGGAGCTCCCTATGGGGCCACGAAGCGCTGTGCTGGGTGTGGCGGACGCATGCGCCCCCCTCCACTGGGGCTTTCGGTGGAGCCCGATGGGGCCACGAAACGCCGTGCTTGGTGTGGCGGACGCATGCGCCTCCCCCCCCACTGGGACCTTCGGTGCAGCTCCCTATGGGGCCACGAAGCGCTGTGCTGGGTGTGGCGGACGCATGCGCCCCCCCCCCCCCCCCCACTGGGACCTTCGGTGGAACTCCCTATGGGGCCACGAAGCGCTGTGCTGGGTGTGGCGGACGCATGCGGGGCTGTGCCACTGGGACCTTCGGTGGGGCTCCCTATGGGGCTACGAAACGTGTGAGAGGTGTGCCGAGAGCAAAGGCAAGGAGGGGGAGGAGGGAGGAGGGGGAGGAGGGAAGATAAGATAAGACGAAGGCGGACGGCGTCCAAGATACCGACCGCGAGGATAAAAACAAAACAAATTAAACCAACTCCTCCTCCTCCTCCTCGGCTCAGCGGGCGGCCTCCTGCTCCCAGAACGGGAGCGAGTCCACCGTGAGGCCGAAGCGGGCGAGGAGTGGCCCACGCCCCATTGGCACCTGCCAAGGCGGTCCCCTGGGGAAAACGGCTCTGGCGGCAGGCACCGACGCACGCGCCTGGGGACGGTCGAGAATCGCCCGAGCCAAGTCCAGGAGATCACCAGGGACGGGGCGCTCGAGACAACTCACACTCCAGCCGTTGTATTTGGTCAACCACCTGGGAAAACGCCCCGCGAGCAACCTTGAGCGCTGCTGCTTGAGCCCCTTCCCCGCACTGTGACCATGACACACACGATCGGCGAGCTCCCTGACCCCGCCCCACGCGTAAGCACCACACGACAAACAACAAATCATACGCGGGGCGGAGACAATGGAGGCTCCCGTCTGATCAAAGACATGGCACACTCGCAAATTATGCTGAGACAACCTCATCAAAATTGCAAGCTCAGGATCACACGGCCCCGAATTAGCTACGGCTGAGAGCACGGCTCTGAAACGCACAGCAACGGGGGGGATGGGGCGCTCAAGGGGGCGGCCCTGGCGAGGGCCCAAACCAGGCTCCAGGCGCTTATCAGGCAAGCCCTCCGAGTCCACCCACCCCCGCTCCCGCATAAGAAGCCCCTGCCGCCCAACCCACTGGCCCAACTCCCGCCCCAAGAGTCGTAAACCAGCGATTTCACGAGCGGCCTGATCGACCGAGGGATGCTTACCCGCCCCTCTCTTCGCGAGGGCGTCGGCAATGGCGTTAGCCTTACGCTCCCAGCGAGTGGTGACTCCTCGCTCCACATCCGCCTCCGCGCAGTGGGCCTTCGTTTTGTGGACAACCAGCCCATCCTCGAAAGCCGAGTGCACAGAGGTCCACATGTGAGCCTGGCCACAACGGGCACTCGTGGAGCGAACTCTCGACCGAGCACAAGAAATCGTAGCTGCACAATCGGTCCACACACCCTCGGGGGACAATGCAATCTGGCCGAGCATCTGATACGCATAATCCTCGCCATCCTTGGCGAGCTGGAGGGGAGCAACATCCCACGGGACGGGGCCGAAAGCTCCAGAGATCATGGCACCAGTGTCATCGACCGAGATCACCGCCCACCCCGCTCTTCTTAGGAGCGGGTCCGAGGGGAAAAGGGCAGAGCCGTCGGTAAAAAGTTTACCAGTTAACAGGCCTCCCTCGGGCCTCCGAACCCAGAAGACCTGGCAATTTTCGGACCCGAGAGGCGGAGGGACCAGCTCCCTGGGAGACGGGAAAATGCCCGAAGCAAAAAAATCCCCAGGGTCACCCAGCTGTCGAATTAGCTTGGCTGCAGCTAACGCTTCATCCGACAAGTAATGAGAGCGATCAGCAGCCCAAGCATCACAAACAAATCTGCGGTGGAACGTGGTCCCTGGGGCCCCCATGTACAGCCTGCAAAGGTTGCACGACACCATGCCGTGCCGCTGCAGTCGGTCCTGGGTCCAATGAGTCCCCGAGACCGCGGCCCTGAGAGAATTCTTATGGGTCCTGGCCCAGGAATCGGTTGTCCTGGCGAACAAGAAGTCCAGCGGCTGCCAGAACACAGGTCGACACCACGACGACGAACCGACACGAGCCTCGAGGGCGCGAGAATCCGACATCTCCCTGGCAGCCTGCTGGGCAAGAGTGGCAACAACCGACGGCGAGAGCCTGAGCAAGTCTATCTGCTCACCCGTCGAGAGAACAATGAGGCGCGCCGATCTCGCTTCCCATCCCAGATCCCCACAAGCAATCGCAAACACGTGAGCAGGGGACGTCGCCCTCGACCACGGGCGACTGGTGGTGGCAAGCGATCGAACAGCGCCCTCAAAAACTGCCTGCAGGGTCGTTATGCTGGGGAGTCCGTCCCAAACAACCCGAGCCCACTCAAAAACTACCTGCTTGAAATACAACGGAACGGGGTCCATGGTTTTACCCTGCTTAAACGCGCGGAGTTTTAAACCCACAGACGCCCCCTTCTTCGCTGGAGCCAGAGACAAGAGGGCCTGAGAGCGGATCCTTTTCAACTGCGACCAAGGAAGCCCCCTCACCGAAGCCCCCCACAACGCCGAGGCCTGAGGACCCGCTCTCTGGATGTGCCCCACAAAGGCCCCAGCGCGCCTCAAAGATCGGAGACGCGTCGACCTACGAATGCAAGTCCTAACTCTGGTGGAGGCAATGGGGGCCAACCTAGAAGAGCTCACCTGCCAATCAGTCCCCAGACTCCGAATCACAGCCTTTCTCTGGAATGACGCCTTCCACGCACTGGCCAGTCCCTCAGCAACCCCTTTCGACGATGCAAGAACCTGTGATTTTTTCTCCGACAGCACAAGACGCAGCCTGCGCAAACCAGCGATCAACTTGCTCCCGACGCCGCCCAACTCCCTGACGACGTGGAGGCTCGTGCCGACGGTCTGCACACTGATGTCGTCTATCACATTCCTCACCATCGCCGACGGGTGCTCGCTCTCGACCGCGGTGAGCAGGCGGAACAGCAGGACTCTCGCCAGGCACGTCGCGAGCGAGCAGCCCGCCAGCACCGTGCCCGAGGCGTGGAAGACAACGGAGACGCAGCCGTTGAAGGACACCGCGCGCGGCCCCGAGTAGAGCGAGCAAGCCGCTCTACAGAGCCTGGTCGGGAACTTCACAGCCTCCGCCTCTGCAAACAAAATCGAGTGACATATACGCTCGTAGAACTTGTCTAAGTCCGTGGCCAAAGTAGCTGACTGCATGCCCTTACTGCGCGCGTAGTGCGCCATTGTCTGGTGCACCCAGCCAGCTCTGTCGCATTCGCGATCACGCACTCCCCAGAAGACTCCAGCTGCGTGCTGGTCCTCCCAGAGCTTGGCCTCATCACGCCGCACCTTGCCCCAGACGCGCAGGATGGAGCAGATGAGGGCGATCGGCCTTACTCCCGAGCCGTCGGGCTTGCCCAAGAAAACCATCAGAGTCGGCCATCTGGCCGATAATTGCGGATCGGCCTCCCACAGCACCATGAGGTCCACGAGCCTCTCCATGAAGTCGTCGTCGAGCAGGTCGAAGGAGCGCGGGTTCACGCAGTCCACCCCACAGCCCACCTGGCGAGGAAAGGAGCGGCAGACAGCACGAACGCGCTCAGCAGTCGGCCTGACCAACACATCAGCCTGCGCGACTGCAGCCTGGATATGTGAGATGCTCTCCTTGGCGTCTCCCCAGTACTGCAGCCACTCCGTGTGCATGGCCTGCACGGCCGCGTCCCCTTGCAGCGCCCAGCCCTCAGGAGCCGCGGGCCCCGTCACCTGCGGCTGGTCCTTCAGGTACCTGTGAGCGCGACGGCCACCAGCTTTCACCGCAGACCGGGCCCACTCTCTCCACTCCTGCAGCTGCTCCTTGGCCGCCGACTGGGGCGCCTCCAGCGCCGCATTGTGAACGTTGGACGCCAGGATAGCCAGATCCTCCCCACCAGCTTCAGCAACGCTGCGCAATGAGTGCAGGTCGAACTCCATGGACTTGACCCCCGTCAGCGTCGACAGGTCGAGGTGGTCAAGCTCCTCCAGCAGGCGAAGACGGGTATCGCCACGGACACGGCACTTGCGACTCTGCTGCCTTCCGACCTGGCCCCTGAGACGCTCCCCTGGTTTAAGGCCTGGGCCACCTTCACGGCCCCGGGGGTCTGCAGGAGCCAGGTCTGTCGACGAGTGGGCCTCAGCTCCAGCCGATCGGACCTCGCAGACAGGCACAGGCCTTCCCCACTCATGAGGGTAATCCGCGAAGCCCCTCTCAGCCTTCTCAGCAGAGCCCACATGGGATGGCATCTGAGAAGAAGAAGACGCCGACACCGACGAACAGGCAGCAGCAGCAGCCAGCGGCGTCGGTCCAGAGTGCGGCGACGTGTAGTCGGGCAGGACAAAGCCCATGGACCCCAAGGAAAGCGTCTGACCTTCGGTGCTGAACCCTTCGGCACTGGAAGCAACAGGCTGCGCCCCAGAGTGCGTCTCACGACGATCGCAGCCTCCACCTGAGCGAGCAGGTCCGCCAATTGCTTCCATGTCCGAGGTAGCAGCTGTCCTCGGTGGTCCAGTGTGCGGCGACGTGTAGTCAGGCAGCACAAAGCCCATGGACTCCAAGGAGGTCGGCTGCACAGCAGCCGCTTCGCTCGCACCAACGGTGTCGTCCTGGAGTGCCTGGAACCTGGACAGGATGGCATCGAGCGACCTCCAGGCTCTCATCTTGTCCCCACTGCCAGACATAGCCGCCTTCTCAATAGAAACAGACAGAGGCACCTGCCGACGCTCGAACCCGTCAGCTCTGCCAATGAAGCCTTTCTGCCCAGCTCCGACGATGTCGAACTGGTTGCACAACTCCAGCTCCATGTTGCTCAGCCACTGGCACCACGCATCCTCCAGCTGAACCCCTGCGAGCACCCCTGCGGGCCAGGACCAACAGTGCTCGGCAGGCTTCCGCAAAGGCCCCGTCCGCAAAGCAGTGGGGAAGGGCTTCCATGTTCTGCGAACGTGGAGCGGGATGTTCAGCGCGGGGCCCTTGAGCTGCATGGCAACAGCGACGTGAGGCGACGAAGGGGCACCGTATATCGGGCGAACATCACTGACGAAGTTGGCCAACCCCTGACTCACAATGTAGTAGTCGATCGTGGACCCCGACTTGGACGCGAAGCAAGTAGGACCACTTGGGGCCACGATCGTGCCTTTCAGGAGCTCCACCCACTTGCACAACTTGAGGTCATCTGGCGGCAAGTTGAAGTCCCCTGCAAGAATCCACGGTGACCTGGAACGGCGCAGAAAGACTCCCAAGGCCTCCAGCAAGTCCCAGGTGAACACCTTGTCGGACGCATCCACAAACCCGTAGACAGAGCCCAGCAGCAGGCCATGAGGGAAGGCCATGTTAGCCCGAATCAGCTTCAGCCTCGAGAAATAGCCGGCCTGGACGCCGAGATGCTTGAGGCTCAAACCTGCGAGAGCGATGTGTGACGAAACTGCCGTCAGCACTCCACCTGACGACTCAGTGGCAAGCTCTCCCGTGGACCGCGCCCTGCCAAAGGCCCCGTGATAACCACGAGCTCGGAGCCAACCTGCTGCACTGCGAACTTTGGTGGGATCTTTCAACCGATGTTCCTGACCAAAACACACATGGGGCCGAGCGTCGACCCCCCAACTTTTCTGCCAGTCCAAGCAGCCCTGGAACGAGCTCCAGGCATTCGTGTTGACAGTCCACAGCCTCCACAGCTGCTGATCACGCGGTGGCCTGGCCACCTTGCTAAAGCCCCTGCCTGCGCCGCTTGACCCCGAGGGCCTCCTGGGCGTGCAGCAGCTGCCGCTTGGCGGCTGCCTGGGCTTCAGCTCCTTCAGCAGCTCGAAGGGCTTCTGCAGCGGCTCGGAACGCCTCCGCTCGAGCCTCGAAGTCGCCCCCATTGAGCTGCTCCATGTCGATGTCGTCGCCCCCTGCGGCCACATCGCCCCCAGGAGGCTCAGCAGCAGCAGGAGGAGCATTGACGGACCCCCCTTGCGATAGCCGCCCGAGCTTCGCGAGGATAATCGGCTTGAGTATCTCCCACTTGTCAGAACCGAGGAAGGCCTGCACTTCAGGATCCTGTGTCTCCTCGGGTTTGATCTCCAGCTTGACCGTGACCGACGGCTTCGGCTCCACATCGGACTGAGCAATGAGAGCAGCCGTCCGCTTGTACTCCGCATCGAGCTTATCAATCTCGAGCTTCTTCGCCTCCAGCTGCAGCCTGCGCTCGTCGAGCGCCTCTTGCAGCTTCTGCATCTGCGAGGCCTTCTCCTCAATCTCGGCCTCCATCTTTGCACGGGCCAGGCGGGCCTTGTGCAAGTCCTGGGCCGTCCTGCGATGAGCAATCGCTGGCGTGCGCAGCGCCTTCTGCTGCTCACGAATGTTCTTAATCTTCTCGATCGTCGCCGCTCGAATGGGATCCTCATCGGGCCCAGGAAGACTCTTGAGCACCGACTCGTACTGCCCGAGCTGCGCGGCGAGCTTCTCACGCTTGACCTTCTCGTCATCAGACTCGAGCAACGGGCCCAGGTCCAACGTCTTAGAAGGCTGGGCCCACGGAGCCAAGGTCGGGCTGGCAGCAGGCGGCGGCTCCCCCTTGCTGCAGAACGACCTGATGAGCTTCTCCATCTCCGCGAACCTCTTGCTGGTGTCATCCTTATCTTTGTTCTTCGGTGGTGACGCCGCCGACTGACCAGATGGCAAGGCAGCGACAGCAGCCTTGTGGGCCTTCCAGGCCTCGTTCCTGATCCGAAGCGGCGCCTCATTCCCGCACTGGCAGCGAATGCGAGATGCCCAGTTCGCCGCCGCTGAGCACCTCCCGCACGCCCAAAAGGGCCGCCGCGGCCCACGGAGCACCGTGGGAGTGGGCGGCGGCTCGGGCGCCATCGCTGCACCTTTCTCGTTGTGAATCACTGCGCTCCCTGGGAGCAATCGCACACGAACGAGCCAAGTTAGCTCGCTGCAGCGGCGCCGTTCTGAAGACAGCTGCAGCAAGCCCAAAACACTTGGGCCAGAACGGCTGCACCGGTTCGCAGCGAGGCGGCTTGAGCCAAAATGGCGACGGAGGGGAGGAGGGAAGAGGGAGGAGGGAGGAGGGAGGAGGGGGAGGAGGAAGGAAGGAAGGAGGAGAGACGCGGGGCACCGTCTCTCCAAAACGAGGACCCAACACAACAGGATGGTTGGGAAAAGCGAGCAGGGAGAGAGAGGGTTTATTCCAACATCGTTGATGACTTTTGGGTTTACACTGGTCCTCCTCCTCCCCCCTCACCCTTCACACCTCTCGTGCGGGCCGGCGCTACAGCGCACGTGTGCGTCTCAGAGTGCACAACAGAATGGTCGATTGAATCAATCCATTTGGTTATCGGACGGCCAATTATGCTGAAGCCTCATGGACGCAAATGGACAGAGTTGAAATGATGCGGGCGGGGTCGGGAGGACTCGCAGATTCCATCGGCGCTCTTTTTTTCCATAAGGATTCCTGTCCACATGTTATATAAAATAAGTGTTTTCAGTGGAATCCACTGGCGCTCCATTTTGTCATAAGGGCCCCTTAAAATTCTATATGCAACACTGGTGCTCTGTTGCGCACGGTTGCTGTGGTGCACACAGACGCGTGGTGCACACAGGCGCTGTAGTGCACGCAGGCATTGCGGTGTATACAAGTGCTGTGTTGAACACGGCTGATGTGGTGCACGCAAGCGCTGTGGTGTACACAAGCGCTGTGGTGCCCGCAGGCACTGTGGCACACACTGGCGCTGTGTTGCACGCGGCTGCTGTGGTGTACAGAGGCGGCGTGGTGTACACAGGCGCTGTGGTGCACGCAGGCACTGTGGTGTACACAGGCGCTGTGGTGCAGATCGCCGCCTACGTGCTGCTGCCACCTGTCCACGGTCACTCGTCAGCATTCCCAGACGCCGCCGGCTTGAAACGTGACGACATCGGCACCCTCCCCCCCCAGATGACGGCCGTCATCAGCTCGGAATGATAAAACAGGCTCCAGCCGCGTCCGCGCGCACGACGACGAAGAGCGACGAGCGACGTGCGACGAGCGACAAAGACGACGACCACGACGACGACGACGACGACGACGACGACGACGACGACGACGACGACGACGACGACGACGACGACGACTGCGGACCAGACTCCTTTGCGGATTCCTACGCGGACGCCGATGCGGATCCCGATGCGCACGGCGGCAGTGCCCGGAGCGCACTGGGATGGGGGGGGCGTTACGTCATAGGGGGGGAGGGGCGGGGGCTATAACGCCCGCTATGTCCCAAACAATAAAGAACACACACACACACACACACACCTTAGACATCTAAAAATAAGGGTTAACGAAATCTCGAATTAAAACTCTGGAGTGAAAAAGAGCCGCCCTCAATCCGTGCAGCGGTTGAATATGTAAAGACGACAACGCGCGGTGCTCAGGTGAGAGCCACAAATTGAAAACGAGCCACTTCCATCCGCTGGAAACTTTGTGACGATTGTGCGCGGCGCTCACGTGAGAGCCACATTTTGAAAAGGAGCCGCCCTCCATTCGTGTAGCTGCTGGAGGCACTGAAAGGCGAAGATGTGCGGCGGTAAGGCGAGAGCCACATTTTGAAATCACACCCCCATCCACGTAAATGTTGGAAATGTATGTACCGAATGCGCGCGGTGCTGGGGCGACAACCACATTCTGAAAACGACCTGTGCTCCGTCCGTGAAACTTCTGGAAGCTCGAGAAACGAACACGGGGCGAACACCCAGAGCCACCTCTTGAGGACCACCCCCCACACCCGCTCCGTCCGTGCAGCCTCTTGGGCACTGCAGGCACCGGGGCCAGGAATGGAAGGAGAAACACGACGTAAACATACTTGTTCGGACCTTCGTGCGGATTTCCTGGATCTGCGCTGGAACCTCCCTCGCTGGCGCGCGGCGCGCGCCAGGGGCGGCGCCGGAGGCGCCGCCAGGGCTTCTGTCAGCACAAAATGCGAGACATCCGCGCGGAGCTCCGAGAGCTGATGCTGCTGCCGCTCTTCCTCCCTCGACTGGCCAGGGGGGCGACCTCGGGCGAAGCGCCCGGCCCGCCCTGCCGAGCGGCGCGGAGCGCCAGCGGCCCAGGGCTGGCCCGGGCTGCCGCGCAGCAGGGCAGACACGGAAGCGCGGCGGCCGTGGTCGCAGACGAGAGCCCTCCCCACCCAGGGCGCCCACGGCCTGGGTCGAGCCCAGCCCGAGGTGCGTTGTTTTGAACTCTTCGGGCGTCATGTCCGCGAACTCGTTAACGTCCAGTTCGTAGTCCTCGCGCCGAGGGGTCTGCTCCTCCCCTCCTGCCCCCGCCAGGCGGCCCTCCTGCCGCTCCCCGCCCTGACCGCTCCCAGTCCGCTCCCCTCCCCAGTCCACTCCCCTCCCCTTTTACGTCCTCTGCCCTCCCCTCTCTCGCCCACCTCTTCCTGATAAACCTCCCTCTCCACTGCCCCTCCCCTCTGGTTTCCTTCCATCTCCTCCGTTCCCCTTCCATGCCCTCCCTGCCCCCCGGCCCAGTACCCACTCCCCTCCCCCTTCCCTGTCCCACCCCGTCCCGCAAGCTGCTCCAACCCTGCGAGGGGGGCGGAACCAGTCGTTCTGAAGAGGCCGATCGAAACCTGTCGGCGGGCTGCTTATGCTCTGGCCCCGTCCTGTTGCTCCTTCGCTCCTTCTTTTCAACAAACCCCTCCTCGCCCTCCTAAGCGAAGGGACAAGCATGACTGACTCGATGCAGGAACAATCGAGCGTAGGTCCTTACAGCCCGCGATAGCACGTGCTGCCTCGCAGAACGAGCCACGTGCACGACTACCTAACTGGGTTTGCCAGCGTCGACCTCTCTTTGGAGGCCCTCAGATCTGACGTTGCAGAAGACGTGCAACATCGCAGACAAAAATCACCCACTGGAGCCCCGGACCCAATCTTTCTGCGTAATTTTTCGAGCGGGATCGATCTGGGAGGGCCCTGGGGCCCGACGCTGTGCAAAAACGCCCGTGGCTAAAAAATGGCAGCGCCAAGATTTCAAGAGGGTGGGGAGGGGAGAGGAAAGGGCAATCTTCACGCCGCCAGTTCCCGCTAACCTTCCGCCAGCGGAACAGCTCTCGCTTTCCTTCTCACGGCTTCCGCCAGCCTCCCACCGGCCTCTGCAGAGGGCGAGCCGTCCTCTCGGCTCCTCGAGTGCGATGCCTCTCCTGGAGCGCCATGTACCGGCCTCGGCTGCCACAATCCACTCAGGGACTGGCCCACGAACCCCTCCTGGGGTCCTTCCAGGAGGACCCTGAGATCCGACAGCGCGAAAAATTGAGACGTCGCGAGAAATCACCGCCGGAGACCTGGACCCCATCTCTCTGCGACATCTGTCGAGCCAGATCGATCTGTGAGGGTCCCAGAGCCCCAAACCTAGCAAAGAACGCCCGGCTCGAAAAATTGAGGCGCCAGGATCTCGGGGGAGTTGAGGGGTTTGTCCAGCCGTGGCGACGAGGAGGTCCCCTGAGGACCGAAGTGATATCGCCTCGCCTCCCGATCCATGTCCCCTTTCCCGGGCGCCCCAGCTGGCCTGGAAGTGTCTGGAGCACTCTGGAGGCCACCTGAGGTCTCTGGAGGCCCAGCCTGAGTGCCACCGCAGGAATCAGGCGGAAAAGAAGGGGAAGACGAATGCGGAAGCACATGATGAGCGCGCAGGATGCTGGGAGATTGCCGCTGCCGTGGGCGCGGCGAGCACATGCATCACGTGGAGCGGTCAGCAACCTATGGGGAAAAACTGACGACATTGCGGCTCCACCTCCCTGTCCCAGACTCTCGCCCAAACCAACAGCCGCAGAAGGTTGAATCGGCACAACAAGCAGCTTCACTGAGCGCGGCCAATATCTTGCAAGAGGATGGCAGTCGGTGACAAGAGGGTGCCCGACAGATGCCCTGCAGGGGAGAGGGCCACGAGCAACGAGATCGGCAGCTTCCTCCCCATCCCCCAATCTGCCGCCAGCCACCAGCCGCCACTGCCACTGCCCGTCGTTACTAGCTCCGCCCTCTTCCACGAGAGGGCAGTAGCCGCTCGGCCGCGGTCGTTCGTAGTTCTGTTCTTAAACTGCATGTAGACGTAGTTCGCGGCAAATATCGCAAACCTGGGAGCCATTGCGGCGAGAGTGGGCACGATGGAGGGAGGGCGGCAAAACGCGGGGCATTTGGCGTATCCTGGGCATTCACCGCGCTTCGACGCGTCTGGCAGGAGCCCTCCTGCTTAACGCCTGCCACCGAGCAGGCGGCTCCGACTTCCCTTCGAAACTGAAGGGGCCCTGAGACACAGACATACATAAAAACAAATGAAAGGATTCCCCATATTTTCTCATATTTTCTGGGTTTTCGTCTTCCCCCCCGCTTCCCATATGTTCCCATATTTTCCTGGGAATCGACGATTAATTGTGTCTGCGTGTTTTTCCCCTCCTGAGAAACGGCTGCGGCGGCGTCGGAGCCACCACCCTGGTCCATGATGTCCGCAGCGTGGCCGGGCCGACTGGCTCCTCAGCGCCAGACCGCGCTTCGACGGGTCTGGCGGAAGCCCTCCTGCTCGACTCCGGCACGAGCTGCACAAGCCTCGTCACCCCCCATCCTCCTCATACAGCCAAGATGCTGCAACAAGGAACGCGAATCAAGGAACGAAGCCTCTCTTTTTCGGAACCAGAAAAGCCTGGGTGCACGAGGAGGGCGGAATGACCCAAGGAACAGCGAGCCCCTTCCGAACCAAAAGCGGCCCTAATGTCAGCGTCTTGACTGTCCGGTCACGAAGTGCGCTGGGCGAGCGACAGCGCGAGCGCGCGAGCTTGAACGCTCGGCGCTCCTCGTTGCCCTCCTGCTCCCCCCTGCTCTTCGCCAACGGCGTCCGTTGCCGCCTGGCTCTGCTCGTTTTGGCACCTGGCACCGAAGCTCGAGGGCGTTCTCCTTTTCTAGGCGAGAACGGTCGTTACCGGCCCTGGCCGCCCCCCTCCCCCACACCAAGTAGCGTCACGACCCGTGCTGACCTCCGAGCAGGCTTTGATTATTCCTTAGACATTCCCAGACGGCACCAGCGCGGAACGCGACGTTACTGGGCCCCGGCCCCCCTCCCCCCTCCCCGGTAACGCCGGTCATCGCCCCGGAATGAAAAAACGCTCTCCTGGCCACGTCCGCCCTGGGCCCTGGGTCCATGTATGGGCTCCCCTAGCTTGGAGGGCCCACGGATGGTTCCTCTCGTCTCGTGTCGGCGTGGACGTTGGTCTTTTGGCGAAGCGCAGACCGTTCAATGTTTTTGCGAACTCCGCCTTCCATGGGACGCACAGAGACATACTAATACTACGTGTCCGCCTTGGAGGCGCGCGTCCGACCCGAACATATAGTATACCCATCTTGTAGTATATCGTTTCTCGAGCGGTGTGGCCAGAAAGCGCCCGCCACGACGCATATACTATAAGATTTCTCGGTTCGCGCGTCGCCTCTGGGGGGGCGACGAACACATAGTATAAGTATGTTGGGGGGACGCCGATTCCAGCAGCGGAGATCGGCCAAAGTCGGCCTGGTTCAGGCCGCCGGAGTCCTTCGGCCTGAAGCGCCCGCGCTGGCGTCGCCGCTGCGTCGACGCGGCGCGAGCCTGCCGGACACGTCGATCCAATGACCAGGGCGGGCGAGGCAAGAACCAGTGGAAAATGTGCTGCCGATCCTTCTGGGGGCCCAGCGACGAGGGAAGTTCAGACGCAGATGCGCAGCGAGCCGCAGACAGGAGAGGTGCTGACGCAGGAAAGCCAGAGCGCCGCATGTCGGTACTGTGTATGTGTGTGAATTCAGGCGTAGGTGTGGTCATACTTGCTGCGCCGTCATATAAAACTCAGCCAGAACGATTTCACTCCACCAGACGACAACAAAGATCACCAACACACATACGCTCTTACGCACCTCTGCAGCCAGAGAAAGGGAGAGGGAGAGAGAGACCGCCAGATAGGGCTGCCTTCGAGTCAGATTATAGGGCCCAGTGCGAGTGGGAGAAACACGGTTCGACACTGCACTCGTTCGCGCCTGATTCTCTGCGTTCCTAGCTGCTCTCCGAGAGGCTCCTGAGCATGCCACGGCCAGAGAAATCCGACCTCGGAAGGGCTGGTAATCAAGCCTCCCGTGAAACGACTGGAAAAAACCAGAGCGTACCTGTCCAGAGTACGCCTGCGCACAACCCAAACGCATGGCATTAGCCATTCCAAAGCGAAGGCGAAGCCACTGCATCTCATGGTCCTGCTACTGACTCGGTCAACTCTCCTGCAAGATTCCCCATATCGCCTTCACTCTTACCCCTGAGCTCTGGCCACACGCACTTCCCACCTGCAACAATCTGCTGACGGACGGATTGCCAGCGGCTGCAGCGGCATTTGGGTGCAAACCGGCAAGCCTCTTTTTCTTTTCTGCGTAGTCTGTGTAATTCCTCTTGTATTCCTTGTACCAGTCCTGTCAGATCGTTGTTTCAAGTTGACGCGACGGTAGCAAAGCTGCCGACCCTTGTCCAGCTTCGCGGTGGCGGCATCGACTTGACCTCACGCGCCTAATCGAACCTCCTATCCCCGTTCCATCGATCGCCTTTCCCAGTATCCAAGCAGCCCCGATGCGTTCAGACAAGAGGCTCGGCTGCAAACGCGACCTTCATTAGGTAAGGGCGCACATCCTTGCCAGATCCCCCAGCATATCAACCGACTTCGTGAGACGGGGGCACCCCTACCGCTTGCGACCAATGATGTCAAATCAGAAGATACGGAACACCAATTCAGCTCCGCCAAGCAGGACTGACATCACCACCGGCGACGGGCACCACCCCCTGCCACTGCGCTCCAGCGCGGGGGGGGGCGTCCTCTGGCGCACCGCGGGAAGGAGGGAGCGGAGGGCGAGCACGAAGGAGGGCGCGCGGGGAAGTGCAGAAAGGACGGACTGCCTCACTGGGGCTGCACCAGGAGGCTGGAAACTGTCTTAGCCAGCGGCCGCAAGAGCGTCAGACGGCGGTCGAGCAGCGGCGGGGCACGCCGAAGCACAGCGAGGCGCGAGGAAGCTGGAAACACGCATGGCTGGATCCACGTGTCGGAAATCCGAAGATCGCGCGCTGGACACACGTGCGGAGGCCCCGCGTGAACCAGGCCACAGCAGGGCCGGCCGCGTCATGCTCAGCCAACTTCCTGGCAGTTGGAGCCCCCTCCGGTGCACGAAACGCGTGAGGGGGGGGCCGCGTTGAGGCGGGCGGGGGCAGCTCGATGACACCCTCGCCCAGGGCTGCAATCTGAGCCACCGCCAGCAGGCGCGGAACCCGTGAGGGGCGAAGCGGGGACTGCACACGCACGCCTCCACATGGGCAGCAGCTGGAGGTCCCTGTGGGGAAGGACTCCGCGTGAGGGGTGTGCCGCATGGAGGCGGGTACGATGTGCGGCAAGCGAACACCCCTACTGGGGCAGCAGGAGGAGCCCAGTGCGGCAAAGTCCGTGTGCCGGAAGCACCGGATTTGAGTGGCACGGCATACGCGCATCGCGCTGGGGCTGTGGACGGGGCTGCCTATAGGACAAGATTCGCATGAGCGGTGTGCCCAAGCGGCCATGCGGGGTAGCAGTGCTGGCAGCTCTGCAGCAGCAGCAGCTGCGGCGACTTGAAGCGCCTGCAACAGCAGCGGCTGGCATCAGCAGCGACATGGCAGCTGCGGCATGAACCGGCTGCCAGAAACGCACACAACCCTTCTTTGAGAGGGAGGGAGCGAGGGAGGTGGCGACGGTAACGAGGGTGGCGGCTGGGGTAGGGGCGGCGGCGCCCAGGCAAGTCTGGACGAGCGTCGTCGACGACGGCCACGGTCACGACGACGACGACGACGACGACGACGACGATGACAACGACTTCGTCCAGACGCGTCCAGGGGAGGCTGCCGGCAGTCTCTCTAGAGGCCTTCGGAAGTCAGAAAAATACTACGACATCACCACCATATGCACAACAGTGCTGCGGACAAGTCTTCGCACAGCCTGCAAGAGACGAAACGTGCCTGTGAGCGCTGAGGTGAGCCTGAGAGCAGCAGAACTGCACGCGCACTCAAGAGTGCGGCAGACCGTGCCAGCACCACAATAGATTGCAAATGCCACGATCTGCTTGTGAGCGCCACTCGCGCCGGGGGCGTCTTGGGGCGTCCCGAAAACTCCGAAGACCTAATGGAAACCTCTGGAGGTCGCGTCGTCGTCGTGAACGGTATCGGCCCTCCTCCTCCTCCTCCATTGTCGTCTTGGTCCTTGCCGCCGCCCCAATGATCCTCCTTCCGGAACGCCATGTGCGGAGATCATTGCACCCACATCCAGCAGCCCTCGTCGTAAAGGCGCCCAGGCCACCAATGTTGGATCCCGGCGAGGAGGCAGCTCCGTTCCGCAACAGTCTGCGAGCACCGCGGCGCAGCGATGCCGCATTATGTTGCAAGCACCACCGCATATTCTGGGTTTCCTAACAAGCGTGGGGGGTACCCCCCCGACGGGGGTCAACCTCGCCTCGTCGTCGCGCCGCGGCGGAGGTCGGAGCGCCTTCGGCGCGCGGTGGCTGCCCGCGACGGGGGTCGATGTGGGGCTGTCGGCGGGGGTGAGGCCCCCCCGACGCTTATCCAGAAACTCTGAGTACCTGGGGCCACGAAGGCCAAGAAAGGTACGCAGCGCACCGCCGTCACGCAATGTCTGTAAGCATCACTGTACGCCTGCGCGCGCCCCACTATGCTTGTGTGCACCACGGTGGTGCGGCGCGAGCACTACAGCATGCAAAGTGCGCGTGGCCACCGCAATCGCCTGTGAGTGCCATCACGTCCTTGTGAGCGTGAGGAGGGGTGTGGGCGCCGCCCCCGTACGATCGTAGCCGCTACGAGGGGGAGGAGCGGGGGGGCATGGGGGGGGGCCCAAAGGATAAAAACAGCCTCGAAGCGCCACAGGGGCACCACGGCCACGACAAAACACCACAACAACGCTTCAAGAACGGTGGCCGACCTCGTGCGAGCGCCCAATTGTACCTGGCTCCCCGGGGAGTCCACCGCTGGGCAGCGAGCAAAGCCTCACGCTGGACCGTGAAGAAGCAGGAATTAGACGGACCCAGCGTGCTGGAGATGGCGAGACGCGTGGGACGCTTCTCCAGTGTGGCCTGACATGAACAAACAGGGCCTCCGAAAAGAACCCAAGATGGTCCAAGATCGGCCACAATTGCCCTCATGGAAACCACAGTTGAACGACTCCAGCGGTCCTCGGGCATCGGAAGAAAGTGCGCGATACGCGAGTATCAAGTCACAACGTCAGTGCACTTCGCCGGTTTCGCCCTTGCTCCTTAAGATGAGCCCCAGAATTGCAAAGGAAGCCAAACAAGAGGCCCAAGAGAAGCCCAACAAAGTCCCAACTCAACCAAAGAGGGTCCCAGGAGGCCAACAACAAGCCTCCAGAGGCTCCCGAAACAGCCCCGAGATGCCATCGCTGCGCTACAGGCAAACCTCATTTCACCTCGCAGGTGGCTGATCTGATATTTGATATTTGTCCTGTCCTGCCCTGCCTGAGCGAGCGGCAACGCTGGAAACGACGGACACGCGCAACGCTGACTTTCCGGAGAACCGCCGCTCAAGGTGCACGGCAAGGCCAGACGAACCAACAGCAGAGATGATAACGTGACAGGCGCGATGGATTGCGATGGCGGGAGGGGAGGAAAAACGAGGGGCCCCAAAAGGGCCCGAAGAGGTTGCAGGAGAAGAGCCCAGGGGAGGCATCCAAAGAAAGGGGACCTGGCCCAGGAGGGCACCGAGGCGAGACGAGGCAAGCGCGCGGTACCACCGGGAACGGGGCCCCTCGGGGGTAAGCGCGGGGAGGGGGGCTGGAGCCCTCAGTTCGTGTTGCCCGTGTCGTGGCGCTCCATATTGAACAAATCTGCTCTCTGACCTGCGCCACTAGTGGAAGGGCGTCCTCAATGCCCCCGAAAGCGCCCGCGAGGGCTCCCAAGAGTGCCCAGCCCGAACGGGCATGCTCCCCGAGTGCCCAGGCACAGGCGCGGCGAGGCCACAGCCCCGGGCATGCTCCCGCGAGTGCACAGCCCAAAGGAGCACCCTCGGTTGGGAGATCTGCGCGCTCGCCTCTCGGCTCGCTGGCACACCGACGCGGAACAATACGCCAGGTCCTCCGAAGCTACTGCCTCACTACTCCTGGATTCCTTCACTCCGCCTCCGCCTCCTCCTCCCCATCCTCCTCCTCCTCCTCCTCTTCCTCCTCCTCCTCCTGCTCCTCCTGCTCCTTTTCCTGCTCCTTCTCCTCCGCTTCCTCTTTGTCGTGAGGTTCGATCACTCTGGCAGAATAGCATTCAAGTATTCGGGAAACCTTACAGTTACACTGGACATTGGGTCCTTCGAGGTTCGCGACCACTTTTACCAACGCGAGGGAGCCCAGCGGCAAGGTGGGGGAAGGGCGCAAAGGAAAAACGACCGGGCGACGTCCCGCGCGGCCCCGCGCCGGCTCAGTCCGAGGGGCCCGGGCGCGCGGTCATCGAGGCTCGCGCCCACACTACAACCTGACATTCAACACTCCGTTGCCTCCTCCTCCTCCTCCTCCTGCTCCGCCTCCTCCTCCTCCTCCTCCTCCTTTTCCTCCTCCTCCTCCTGCTCCTCCTCCTCCTCTTCCTCCTTTCCTCCTGCTCCGCGTCGTCGGAGTTCGATCCTTCTGGCTGCATCCTGATTGAGGGCTTCGGGGGGGATCCGCACAACCTCACGAGGCGGCAGCGCTGCAACAGCGAGTTTAGAGAGGGCCGCGCGCGGTCCAAGAATCTGTCGCCCGTCTCCTTGTCCTTGTACAGCTCCTCGCACGCGGAATAATCTACGTCTGGATATCTCTTCCTCGCGTCATCGGCCAAACGGTCTGTACAGAGAGACAGAGAGATGGAATATCGGCATGAAAATAATGACCTCGCAAGATTTCGCCGCCTCAAGTATTCCCTCCACGACCAGCCTATGCACCTCGCCTGCAGCCGCTTCCCCGCTATCTCGCGGAATGTCCCACGCCGTCTCTACATCGATGTATGCACATATACAGATCAGCGTGTGTAAATATAGTTACACAGAAAGCGAGGTATACATGTTAACATATGTATGTATGCGTTTATATGTATACATGGATGTGTATATAGTGTGGCCCCCCTCTCTCTATATAGCTGTTATTGTCCTTCTCTGCCTCACTTTGAATGTGCGCACGCTCAGTTGCATATATCTTCCCCACTCTGCATCTATATATATATAACACATAAACAACTGGACATCTATATGTATACATGTATGTGCGTATCCCTATGTGTGTCCTCTCGCTGACTGTATCATTCTCTCGCGCTCTCTACCTCTCCCTCTGACTCTCTCTCTCTCTCTCTCTCTCTCTCTCTCTCTCTCTCTCTCTCTCTATATATATATATATCCCTATGTGTCTCTCTCTCTCTCTCTCTCTCTCGCTGTATCTCTCTCTCTCTCTCGCGCGCCCCGGGGAGCGGCCACGGTCGGTCGGAGCCGACCGCGGACGCCCGAACGCTCGCGCGAGGCCGCGCAGCCCTCGCGGCTGCAGGCCTGGCTTCAGGGCGGCGAGACCGAGCCCACCGCACGGCACGGCCAGCTCGCAAGCTGAGCCGCGCCGCCCTCCATCCTCGCCTCCGTGGCAGGGGGGCGCCACGGAGGTCCCAGGAGAGGGCGGAAGAGCGCCTCAGGCAGCGCCCGAGGCACGCGGGGGCCGCCCCGCGCCGCGGCCATCAGCGCCCCGCCCGCCGCGAGGCGGCCTGCTCCCGAGAGCACTCGCCTCACGGCGGTGCGCCATCGGCGCCCAGCATCCCAGGCGCGGACGGCGCGTGGCCCAGCGCCGCGAGCTCGTCTTCGAGCCAAGGGGTCAGCTGCTCGAGCTCCTCCGCCGCGCGGCACTCCCAGGTCGCCGCCAAGGCTGGGCCGAAGGAGAAGATCGGCGAGACCGCCAAGGCCGCCAGGATGGCGTCGCGGCGGCTAGCAGGGCCCGCGGGTGGCGGCTGGGCGAGCCGCACGGGGGCCGCGTCGGCCCACTCGTCGTTCATCTCGTCCATCTCCTCGTCTCGTCCTCGTTCTTAGCGGTGGGCTCCGCCGCTGAAGACACGCGCACGAGCACAAGGCCCATGGGCGCACCGCCAGTCCCAGCGCCGCCGCTGCCCGCCGCGGCAGCTCCGCCAGCTCCAGCCTCCGCACGTGCAGACGCCTCCGCCCGCTCCGCCGCCGCCTCGGCCGCCACCCCGTCACTCTCCTCCTCCGCCTCCGCCTCGGAAGGTCCCTCGGCGGCACGGCCGCCGACAGCACCTGCACTCCTGGCCCTCCGCAGGCGGCGGCGGCGGCGGCTCGCGCCGCCGGGCGGCGCCGCCGCTGCGGGGCCAGCAACTGGTGCTGGTGGGCCCTCCCTGGGAGGCGGGGTCTCCTCGGCCGAGGGGGGAGCACGAAGTTCGGCCCCGAGCTTCGCCACCGCGGCCCTGCAGATGCCTTCCGCGGTGCGCAGCAACCTCACGGCCGCTGTGCCCCGCGCCAGGCCTGCAGCCGCGTGCACCGCCTGCGTGGCCCCGCGGGCCGCCGCCAGCGCAGCACGACGGTCTGGCGCCGCCGACATCGGAGGCCCGCGGCGGGCCCGAACGGCCCGAGACGCAGGCTCGACGCGACACGGCTATCTCTCTCTCTCTCTCTCGTTCTCTCTCTCTCTCTCTCTCTGTTTCCCTCTCTCTCTCTCTATTTCCCTCTCTCTCTCTCTCTCTCTCTCTCTCTCTCTCTCTCTTCCTCCTAAGTATAGTCATACGTGTGCATGTACCAGTGTATATATGTATATTTTATACCTATACGACTACCCTTCGGGTGATAAGGAGGTTCGGGGGGGAACCAACGTCTCATCCGATCGGTCTCACGATCGACCTCACGATCGGTCTCACTACCGGTCTCGCTCGATCGATCTCACCCGATCGATCTCACAATCGATCTCACTCGATCTATTTCATTCGATCAAGCTCACAATCGATCTGACAATCGATCTCAAAATCGATCTCACTATCGATCTCACAATCTATCTACCAGTTGGTACCACTATCGTTCTCACTGTCGATATCACAATCGCTCTCACAATCAACGTCCTCATCATCATCATCATCAACATCATCGTCATCAACGCCATCAACATCATCATCACCGGGACACCATCATCACCACCTCATCACCATCATCATCAACATCATCATCATCCCAATCATAACCATCGGGACACCATCATCGTCACCATCAGCATCAACATCATCATCATCGGGACACCATCATCATCATCGGAACACCACCATCACCATCATCATCTCATCATCGTCAGCAGCATCATCATCAACATCATCATCGGGGCACCATCATCATCAGCAGCATCATCATCAACATCATCATCATTGGGACACAATCGTCATCGCCACCACCATCATCATCACCATCATCATCATCCGGACACCATCATCATCATCAACATCAGCATCGTGCTCATCGGGCCACCATCATCGGAACCATCACCATCACCTCATCATCCTCATCATCAACATCATCATCGGGACTTCAGCGCCGTCAGCATCACCATCATCAACATCATCATCACCGGGACACCATCATCATTACCACCATCAGCATCAACAGCATCATCGTCAACCTTATCATCATCATCATCGGGACACCATCATCCTCATCATCATCATTGAAATCTCGTCATCTCATCATCAACATCCTCATGATCACCAACCTCATCATCATCGGGGAACCATCATCACCAGCAACATAATCATCAACATCATCATCATTGGGACACCATCATCATCACCACCATGGCCATCATCATCATCACCATCATCACCATAAGCGGGACACAATCATCGTCACCATCATCATCAACATCATCATCGGCACACCATCATCATCAGCATCATCGGAGCACGACCATCACCATCATCATCTCATCATCATCATCATGAACAACATCATCAACATCATCATCATCATCATCGGGACACCATCGTCATCATCCTCAGCAACATCATCATCAACATCATCATAGGGACACCATCATCATCGTCAACATCATTATCATCACCATCACCATCATCGGGACACCATCATCATTGGGCCACCAGCATCAAAATCATCATGATCACCTCATCACTATCCTCATCATCAACGTCATCAGTTTCATCAAAATCGGGGCACCATCATCGTCATCATCATCATCAACATCATCATCGGGACACCATCATCATCACCATCATCATCACCAACAGCATCATCATCAACCTCATCATAATCATCGGGACACCATCATCCTCATCATCATCATCATTTTCAGCATCCTGTCATCATCTCATCATCATCAACATCATCAGGATCATCAACATCATCATCATCATCATCATCATCATCATCATCATCATCATCATCATCATCATCGGGACACCATCATCACCAGCAACATCAGCATCATCAACATCATCACCATCATCGGGACATCATCATCACCACCATGGCCATCATCAGCATCATCATCATCATCATCATCATCATCATCATCATCATCATCATAATCATCAACATCGTCATCTAAATCATCTTCATCATCATCGGGACACCGGCGGGACACCGGCGGGACACCAGCGGGACACCGCGCGGCACTGGTTGCCGGAAGGGAGACTTTTGGTCCGGCCGCGCCTCAGCCAGAGGCGGGGCACTTCTCGCCCGCCCACGCAACTTCGCCTCGCCGGCACGCACGGCAGGAAAGAACGCGAAACCGAAACCGATTTCCCGGTAGGAGGGCTCCCCGTCCAACTTCGATCTCACCCCCTCACCTCCGATATACATATACATATATAAATATATGTGTATATATATATATATACACATATGTATGTATATGTGTGTACACAGTCCGCAGAAACACCCACTCGCCTCGAAGTCACTCGTGCCCCCTCCGCCAGGCATGTAATGACGCGCCCCTGCCTTTCGAATGGGTGCAATCCGACTTCGTGCTGGGGAGGAGGAAACAGGGAACCGGATGCTGTCCGACGGCCCCCTGCTGCCCAAACGGCCACTTATGTAATGCTACAACACACGCACAAGCACACAAACACACATACACACACGCGCGCACACACACAACGGCAGCCCAGGTGGGAGGAGCGAGGAGGGGAGAGAGGGAGGAAGGCGCGGGAGACGAGAGAGCAACAAACTGCACAACGAAGTCCGCAGAAAATGAGCATCTCGTGCGTGCGTAGACCGCGCCCACCGATCGTTGCCGGGGTGGGTACCCGCAAAGTCCCTCCCGACCCTAGAGATGATGCGAAGTAAGGCCGCCCACCAAGGTAGAGGGGGGCAGGCCAAATTGTTGAGAAAGAGGTGCCGAGGTTGCCAGCGCAACGCAGGAGCGCAGGGACGATAAGGAGAAGAGAGAGCAGGAATAAAGAGACGAGGGCGAGCAAGCGAAGGCTAGAGAATATGTGGCGCCGCCCAAGGGGTGCGCGGGGGAACGGAAAGCTGTGTGAGCAAACCGCCCCCGACCCTCAGGCGGTGGACGCTGCCACCCGGGACCAGGGGCAGCGCAGGGTGGCGGAAAAACAACCCACATCATGCAGCGTGCAATGCAAAAACTGTCCCGAGACGGGGAGGATGGGAAATTCAGAGGAAGGGGAGGAGGATCGCTCCAGCCGAGTGTCGCCATCATCTACGCGCCCTCCAGGCGGCCTCACAGAGGCGCTGCACGCACCACTGCATCTCCAGCTCACTGCACCTCCCAAATGTCAGAGTCGTGCCGCTGCTCCCCGTTGTGCTGCTGGACGTCGTGCTGC